AGCAGGTCCCAGCTTTGCTGCATAATCCTGGGGCAAGTACCGCCCCTCCTTGAGTGCTGAGGACTTTGTTGTCTTGTAGGATCGCAGGAGAGTGGGTTGAGACTGGAGGAAGGCTTACCACGTCCACTAGCATGCATTTTGTACGTATGCTATGTAGGAATAGCTATGTTCAAGAGCGGCTTGCACTTACTCCACACTACCCCATAAAATGGTAGCCTTCTCCCATAGCTAAGCTTATAACGGCATGAGCGTGTACCACATAGCTGTGAGTAGAACCATGACATATCTGGAATCCGAGTTATTTATGGAGTCTGTCTCACCCCCCCCCCCCGTGCTCTTAGGCACCATATAACTGTTGTCTAATTATTTACCATTCACTCAAAAAATATTTATCAGCAGGTTGGTGTACCAGATGCCTGTAACCCCAGTACTCAGGTAGCTGAGATGGGAGGATCTGGAGTTTGTCAGGGCCAGCCAAGGCTGCATAATCAGACCTTGCCTTAAACAAACAAAACAGAAAATCACAACAGTAACAAGAAAAACCGCACACACACATGGGTTGGTGTTGGAGGAGACAGCTTATTCATCCCAGCTGCCCAGAACCAAAATAACTACACAGAAATTATATTATTTAAAACACTGCTTGTCCCATTAGCTCTAGCTTCATACTGGCTCTTACATATTAATTTCACCCATTTCTATTAATCTATATATTGCCATGTGGCAGTGGCTTACCAGCAAAGTTCTGGTGGTCTGTCTCCAACAGGACTGCATGGCTTCCCTCTGACTCCACCTCTCTCTCAGCATTCAGTTCAGTTTTCCCCGCCTAACTACGCCTACCTAAGTTCTACCCTGCTATAGGTCCAAAGCAGTTTCTTTATTCACTAATGGTAATCACAGCATAAGATGGAAATCCCAAATCAGATTGGTGCTTTTCAAGGTCCCATGTAGAACCATATACTTTATTATTTTTGTTTTAATTATGTCTGTGTGTGGGTTTGTGCAAGCAAATGCAGGTGCCCAATGGGGGGGTGAAGGCATTGGATCCCCTGGAGCTGGAGTTACAGGCAGCTGGAATGGTGTGAGCTGTCTGATGTGATGCTGCAAACCAAATTCTGGTCCTCTGCAAGAGCAGTCAGTGCTCTCAACCCAGGAGCCATCCCTCCAGCCCCCAAACTGTGTACCTATGAAAATAAACCTATCCTCCCCAGAACTTCACCTTACCACCTACACACAAGATGCATATGGGATATTGACCCTATGGGATGAAGATCTCAGGTCAACAGTACCTGGGCAGGTAGGAAACTGCTGGATGTCAACTGAATATGAAATGCAACCAGCGGGGCTGGAGAGATGGCTCAGCAGTTGAGTACTGACTGCTCTTCCAGAGGTCCTAAATTCAATTCCCAGCAACCATATGGCTCACAACCATCCATAATGAGATCTGGTGCTCTCTTCTGGCCTACAGACACACATGCAGGTAGAATACTGTATTCATAATAAATAAATCTTAGCCGGGCGATGGTGGCGCACGCCTTTTATCCCAGCACTCGGGAGGCAGAGGCAGGCGGATCTCTGTGAGTTTGAGAACAGCCTGGTCTACAGAGCTAGTTCCAGGACAGGCTCCAAAGCCACAGAGAAACCCTGTTTTGAAAAACCAAAAAATAAATAAATAAATAAATAAATCTTTTTTAAAAAGGGGGAGGCTGGAGAGATAGCTCAGAGGTTAAGAGCACTGTCTGTTCTTCCAGGGGTCCTGAGTGCAATTCCCAACAACCACAGGGTGGCTCGCAACCATCGGTAATGAGATCTTGTGCCTTTTTCTGACCTGCTGGCATACATGCAAACAGAACACTGTATACATAATGAATAAATAAATCTTTAAAAAAAATGTCACCAGCACCAATGGCTCAACTAGCAGGGAGCAAGATACCCTGGCCCAGGGCACAGAAAATGTTTGCTATGGAGCAACCACAAGGCTTGTTGGTGCTGCCTTTGAGAACTGACATTCTCTGTTCCGCAGCTGAGTCACTGAGCTCATGTGGTGACATGGCCATATCAGCACAGCCATGTGCAGTCCAACCAGGATGTATCTGGGGCCTGAGATACCCAACCAAGCTGTTCTTTACTTTTTTATTTTCTTTATTTGTTGTTTTATTGAGACAGGGTTTCTCTGATTAGCCCTGGCTGTCCAGGAACTCACTTTATAGACCAAGCTGGCCTTGAACTCAGAGATCCACCTGCCTCTGCTTCCCAAGTGCTGGGATCAAAGGTGTGTTCCCCTTTGCTGTTCTTTTCTCACTCCCCCTCTCTCTCCCTCCCTCCCTCCTCCTCCTTCTTCCTCTTCACAAGTATTATGCCTGCATGCATGTCTGTGCACCACTTGCATGTCTAGTGCCAGTGGAAGACAGATAAAGGCATTGGATCCCCTAGAACTGAAGTTGCAGATGGTTGCAAGTCATATGTGGGTGCTGAAAATCATACTAGGGTCCTCTGCAAGAGTAGCAAGTGCTCTTAACCACCAGGCCATTTCTTTAGCCCTAAAGGATGTCATCAGGAATTAAACCTTGGTCTCCTGACTGGCAAATGGAGATACTCAGCATTATTCTGACAAGGATGTCACTTTCTTTTGCTTGTTGAAATGGGGCCTTATGCATCTCAGGCTAGCTTCTAACTCTATATATGCGGAGGATGATCTTGAATTCCTGCTTCTCTCCCAAATTCTGGGATTACAAGCAAGTGTGTATAACTGAATGTGGTTTATGAGGTACCAGGCTTCATACGTGCTAGGGAAGCACTACCAACTGAGCTCTATCCACAACTCCTAAACCACATCTCTTAGTGGGTATTCAGGAGACCATGAAGACTAGAGTGGGATCTCCAATGACTTACAGTATTTTTTTTAAAAGGCAGATTTACTTTTATGTATGAGTCTCTCCTGCATGCATGCCTGCAACATACATGTGCCTGGTACCCAAGGAGGGAAAAGGGCATTGGATTCCCTGAAACTAGAGTTACAGATGGTTGTGAGCAGCCATGTGGATGATGGGAACCTAACTCAGGTCCTCTTCAAGAGCAGCAAGTGCTCTCAGCTGCTGAGCCATCTCTCCAGCCCAGACTTTTAGTATTTTCAAAGGCTGGATAACTATCTCAGTGATTGGGAGGAGGTTGCTCAAGAATTTGGGGCTGTGATGACACGTCTATGGTCCAGGGGGAGGTGGGAGAATGCTTAAGCCCAGGAATTCAAGACAACCTGAATAGTATAACAAGCCCTATCTAAGGAAGGAGAGGGAGAGGGAAAAAAGGAAGGAAGGAAGGAAGGAAGGAAGGAAGGAAGGAAGGAAGGAAGGAAGGAAGGAAGTTTCAGGCTGGCCAGGGCTACATAGAGAGACTCTGTTTCAAAAAAGAAAGAAAAAGGCACTGAAGTTTTATTAAAGTTGCGGCAATGGGTCATCTTAATAGGAAGCTAGTTCATCCCCAGTGGTCCTCCCTCCAGCCATCCCATTATCTTACCCCAGACATCATGTTCACCTCCTATACTTTGACTCCTGACCTGGGCTCTCAGTTTCCTCTCTGAATGCCATGGCCAAGCATGGTCCCCAGATGTAGTACAGGGGACCTGGTGTCCTCGTGTAAGACCTGGGCTCAGGAAGAGTCACTGTAAAAGGGCAAGCAGCAGCTTCACATGTATGACCGGGGAGGTGTTCCAAGATCCAGGGTCAACTGGAAATACTGACTCTTGGGCTATGTTACCAGAAGGATCCAGACTGTCAAGGGTAGGAGACAGGAATCCATGTGGAAAGCACCGGCTGCCATCTTGAGGTAGTCTGAATGAGAACTGCCCCCACAGGCTCATGTATTTGAATGTTAGACTCCCAGTTGGTGGACTGATTAGGAAAGATTAGGAGGTGTGTTCCTGGGGGTGGGCATTGAGTTTTCAAAAAGCCCAGTCTCGCTTTCTCTCAGCCTGCAACTTACAGATCAGATGTTAAGTTCTTAGCTACTGCTGCAGCGCCATGCCTGCCTGTGTGCCGCCACACACTCCCTACCACAATGGCCAGGAACTAACCCTCTGAAGCTGGAAGCAAGCCCCCAGTTAAAATGCTTTCTTTTATAACTTGCCGTGGTCATGGCGTCTCTTCACAGCAATAGAACAGTGACCAAAACATAGCTCATTCAAAGCAAGGGAATCAGCTGTCAAGAAGAGAAATGAGCCAAGATGCAAAAGAGACCCAGAAATAACATCAGAATGGGCACTTACCAAGAAAACAAAACAGAAAGCATTTTGCATTTCTTTTCCCCTCCCCCTGCCTCTTTTTGGGGGACAGGATTTCTCTGAACAGCCCTGGTTGTTTTGGAACTTGCTCTGTAGAGCAGGCTGGCCTCAAATTCACAAAAACCACTGCCTCAGCCTCTCAAGTGCTAGGATTAGAGGCGTGCACCACCACTGCCTGGCCTCAGTGCTGTTTTGAGGAAGGCAGAGACAGTGACTTGCCCAAAGTCACAAAGCCAGTATGAGGCAGAAGCCAGGGCCTCAGGAATATATAATAAAGGCTAAGCAAGGTGGTGCACACTCATAATCCAGCACCGAGGAACCTGAAGGAGGAAGAGTATGAATTCTAGGACAGACTGAGTTACCTAGTGAAACCCAGTTTCAAGACAAACCCACAAAGGGGAGTTAGCTCCACCGGAAAAGGCACTTGCTAAGTAAGTCTGGAAGCCTGAGTTCAATACCTGGGACTCACATGGTAGAAGAGAACTGGTTCTAGCGAGTGGTGCTCTGACTTCCACATGTGCTCTGTGGCTTGTGCGCGTCAGCCCATTCCCACCCCCCTGCCCACGCACACAAACAAACAGAGTGAAAGGAAAAAAAGGTAGGATGAGAGAACCAACTCCAAGAAGCTGTCCTTCAAACTCCACATGAACACTATGGCACACAGCCCCCCCCAACACAAATTATTATAAATATTTCAAAAAGGGCAAGTGTAGTGTGGCACACTCCTTTAATCCCAGAACTTCAGAGGCAGAGGCAAACAGACAACTGTGAGTTCAAGGCCACCCTGGTCTATATAGTGAGTTCTGGATGAGCCAGGGCTACACAGAGAGACCCTGTCTCAAACAGAAAGCTAAATGTATGTATATATGTTAAAAGTGAAATGACCACCCAGCTTTGCCCATTTTTTTGGCAGGGACTTTCCCCTTTGGAGGTCTTTCTGACCACAGGGCAGGACAGGCACACAGTGAAGAAAACACCTTTTTTAATCAAACCACCTGCATGGATACCAGGGAGGTCCCAGTCCATAAGGTCTCACTGAGAAGCAAACCCAGTCCCCCTGCAAAACCTGGCTTATAAAACCGAAAGTCTTCAAATCATCAGTGGCTAAACCCTTGAGTAGAAAGAGGCCTGGGGAAGGGATGGGAGAAGCGAGTGCTGCAGGTGGCAAGAGACAGCCTGGTCTAAAGGAAGTCTGTCACCCTCTGATGTGGCTCACCAGCCAGGGACCTGTGAGGACCAGAGGGGCTCCTGGGCCTGGCTGTTTCGTGTGGTATTTTGGATGGGACAGTGGAGTAGGTTTGCCATCCTAGCTCAGGCAAGCCTTGAATGGAGAATGGGGAAGGACGTGGTCACCACGGTGTGGTGTGAACTGTCTCCACTGCCCAAGCTCTCTGATAGGCTTCTTAGTCAGGGAGGCTCCAGTTCCAGAGATGGGGCATTGACGGCTACTCTCTGGACACATCACCAAGCAGTACTCAGGACACAGGGTCCTCAGGGCATCTGTGGAGGGAGGTGATGAGGACAGGCCTTCTCTCTGCTTGTCCCCAAGAAGGGCGGGGTGCTGACTCTCCACCCACACCCCCACTCTGCCCCTTCAGTGCTCCTGGACACCATCTTCTTCCCTCCTGAGACCACAATGGTGAAGTAGGTGTAGGAATCGAGGGTTTAGTAGGATTGCTAGGGGAAGGGGGCGGGGTAGCAGCAAAGGATCATGGGATAGGAGACCCAGGCTTAAGGACCTGGTGGAGGGTAGGATGAGGGGTGGCCCTGCTTTCCTGGAGGATGAGGTTCAAAGGTTTGCCAAAGAAGGGCAGGCTGAGACTACAAAGGTTTCCTGTGGGTCAGGCTGAACTCAAGGCTTTGGGCTCTGTCTGTCTGGTTCCCAACAAGAGAAGAAACTGGTATATTGCTTTAAGAGTGGAGCTGGTGAGTGGTGGTGATGGTATGTGAGTGTGTGGGAATGCCCACGCTGCAAGGGGGGCGTGTAAACCAAGTCCGGAGGCCGGATCCTGGGTTGCAGAGTTTAAAACTAGAACCTGCGGGATTCAAAGCCTGCCTCCACTAAAGCCTTACTGTGTGGCTTCAAGCGAGTCACTTCACGTCTCTGGGCCTCAGTTTTCCCATCTGCACTGTGGCCCAGAGAATTGAGAAATGAGCACGCCGGAAGTGTCATCTGCTCAGGGATTATTTTAATTATCTGAGGTGGGGAAACTGAGGCCCAGAGAGAGAGAGCAAAGGCTCTGCCAGATGTCACGCAGGGTGTCAGAGATGCCCCTGCAGCTGGAGCCCAGGACTCCTGCTCCGAGTTCCTAGTGTCGTTCCCCAGGGCAGGTACACGAGGGATGAGATGGGGATGAGCCCGACTGTCTTGCTGTTTGAACTGAGGGCAAAAATACTAGGTAAGGAGCGAATCTGAAGAAAGGGGGAGACCCTGGCACGTACCAAGGCTGAGATTAAAAAAAATACAAACCCAGCGATTCCCCCTCCCCCCCCAGTCCCGTCCTGTCCCAACCCTGAAGTCCGGCTGCTAAGGGCCATGGCCAGAGCCAGGTCAAGTCCAAGTTCGAGTCTCAGTCCGCATTTGCTCCAGGGGCGGTAGATCCAGAAAAGGCTGCGCAAGGTGCAGTCAACCTGTGGGCAGCCAAGGAGAGCGCCTGCCCATCGTGATCCTAGCTCCTTACAGCGCGGCTTCTAACTCCAGTTGCCCAGGTATGCGGGTAGGTCCCGGGCAGAGGCTACCCCGACCTGCAGGAAACAAAGACGTTTTAGGGGGTGCATCTGCAGATCTGCGAGTAGATGAGCAGAGAGACCCGGGTGCCCGTGCCTTCTCTGCGTCCTTCCCTCCACCAACACTACAGACTCCGCCTCCAGCCACACCCAGTCGCCACCTCCCCTCCCCCATGCACAGGGACCCACGTGTACAGAGGTTGCAGCTGTAAATGCGACGTCTTCTGCGGCGCCTGGTACCCATAGGAGTCAAAGCCACCGATGAAGTCAACTGCGGAAGGAAAGGGGTGAGTTATGAGAGACTGCTCTGAAGGCGAAAAACCCAGGACTGGACTCCATTCCCTGGGTAGCACGGCCTGAGGAGTGAGTGGTGCCGGGAACGGCCATGCCTGTGATCAGGACGAGGAACTAGAGCGGGGAGTGCGGGGGAGTGCGTGGGAGAGGGGAGGGACAAGTGAGCCCCCTTCTCAAGTGGCAGCAGTAGGAGAGAGATGGCCAGGTTAAAGGAAGGCCCTAAGGCTCTAAGACCTTCAATTGGGTTAGAGCCAGCAATGGGACCGGGCGATTCTGGGGCCTTGGACCGAGCACCTGGTCATCTGAGTCCTAACCAGAATGGGTACGAAGACCTCATGCACCCCTGCCCTCTCTTCTTTCCTTAGAAACGGGGTCCCCAAGTTGACCCCGGGGCTCCCTGGAGGGGGGGGGGAGGGAGGAAGCCCTGTCCACGGTGCTGAAATGTCACCCTACTTCCCCGGGGGAGCCGCACTTACAGCTGTCCTCCTCTTCCAGGAACACTTTGCTCACGTAACAGGCAAACACGAAGCCGAACAGCTGGCGGCGGCGGCGGGGGGGGGGGGGGGGGGGGGGGGGGGGGGGGGGGGGGGGGGGGGGGGAGAGGGAGGAGATATGACAGTCAGGAAGAGCAAGACAAGTTGTCCCTGCCCTCTCTACCCACCCAACTCAGCACCCTGGCCAAAGCAAACACTTAAGTTAAATGTCAAGGCTTCGAAGACTGGGTGTGAGTGACTTCCGACAAGCAGCTTGTGTCTCTGGCTTCCCAGGTCAGCCCGGGGCTGTGCCTCACTCAAACTGTTAAGTGAAAGGATTATGTGACCCTGCCTGTGTAAAGTGCTTAGGACAGGGCTACCCCTCCGGTTAATGGTCTCAAGTAGCCCAGGCTGGCCTTGAGCTCTGGATCCTCCAGCCTTTATATACACCACCATGCCTGGCTGTGACCCCTATTTGGAGTCTGTAAGGTTGGCACTGTTTTTTCCATGCAAACAGGAAGAAAGCTTAGGTTTATCCAAGGTCCCATGGCGTGTTAGATAGTGAAGTCCAGCAGGAGCTGGCCTGAAGTCTTGTCCCATTCATGAAACTTGTCTGTGCCCTTCTTAGAAGCTGGGGGAAGGGTGGGAGGGGGAGGGAGGTGGAGCCAAGGGAGGCTGGAGTACATAGGTTCCTCTCCCCCCCCTCTCGTGGGGGATAGGAGAGTCTGAAACTCACTATGTAATCTAGGCTGATCTCCAACTTGTGATCGCAATCCCCCTGCCTCTGCCTGTCTGAGTGTTGGAATTAAAGGTATATGCCACCACACCTGGCTTGTCTTCTCTTAACTGGGACTAAAGAACAGGATGGGTTGGACTCTGCACTTCTGGGAAGATGGGGTGGGTGATGAACAGGACTTACAGCTAGGAAGATCTGCAGGGCACTGCTGAGGGCTTCAATGTAAGGATAGTCAAGCAGGCAGCCCGTGACGGAGATGACATGGTGGTCCTCCAGTGCCAGGCGCGAGTTCAGAACAGGAGTCACCAGGCAGCCGGGCCCATTCTCCATCCACCACGAGCGATGCAGGGATGTGTTGAAGGTCATGATAAAGTCCCGGTCCTGGGGGGCAGAGGGGCCTGGGATACTGAGCGGTGAGGAAGGACAGAAGGATACTCCCCAGGCTCTCGCTACCACCCACTCTCACAGCCTGCAAGTCCACATACTGCCGGCAGGTGGCAGTAGATGATCATGTAGACACTAGTCCGCTATCAGTGAAATGGAAAAGGGTGGGTGTTGAGCCTTGGAATTTAAGAATTAGAAGGGACACTAACAGGCACAGGGTCTAACTCCCCAGGCATTGGTGAAATCCTTAATACAAGCTTCCATTGGTGCCCTTTGTGTGACTCTGGACAAATCTCTCTTCTTGTTCCATAATCTCCCATTTGTTACATGGAGAAGGGAATGGTGTGCAGCCTTGTGCCCATCAATGCCTTTAGTCTTTTATTCCTTCAGTCAGACCAACAGCCACCATGCTGGCCAGAAGCCAAACACACAGGCCCGGGATCGAGCTTCGTCTCATGTGTAACCACATGGGGCTCTACTTTTTTGTTTGTTTTTGTTTTTCAAGACAGGTTTCTCTGTGTAGTCCTGGCTGCCCTAGAACTTGCTCTGTAGACCAGGCTGGCCTTGAACATAGAAAACTGCCTACTCTGCCTCCAGAGTGCTAGGATTAAAGATGTGTACCTCCACGCCCATCTTGTACTTTAGTGTATGTGTAAGTGTGTGTGCGCGAGCGTGAATGTACACGTGCACATACTGAGGCCAGAGGTCAAAGTTGGCTGGCTTCCTCAACTGCCCTCCCACCTTTTTTCTTTTACATTTATTATTGCTGGTGTGTGTGTGTGTGCGTGTGTGTGCGCGCGCGCGCCTATGTGCACACCTGTGTGTACCCAAGTACCACAGGACATGTCTAGAGGTCTGAGTACAATTTTTGGGAGCTGGTTCTCATTTTGCCTTCCACTGCAGGGCCCAGGATTGAACCCGGGTCACCAGGCTTGCAAAACAAGCGTTTTACCCATTGAACCACCTCTCGGACCCTGCCTCATTTTTTGAGTTAGGGCCTCTCAATGACCCTGGAGTTCACAGTTTGGTTAGACTGGCTGGCCTGAAATCCCTTGGGACACCTCTTTCTCTGCCTCTCCTAGTACTGGGGTTACAGATACACACCACTGGAGGGCTTTTATTGTGGTTGCAGGGGATGTGAACTCAGACACTTGACCATTGAACCATCTCTGGTTTAGAGAAGGCTGTGGGACGGGGATGCGGCTCAGGTGGGAGAGTGCTTATTTAGCATACAGGAAGCCTTGGGGTCCCTCCCCAGCACCACATGCAGTGGGGTATGACTGTAATCCCAGCACTTGGGGGGAAACATGGAGGGTCAGGAGTTCAAAGTCATCCTTAGCTATGGAGTGTTTGATGCCTGCTAAAGCTACAAGAGACCCTGTCTCAAAAAAACAAAACAAACAAACAAACAAATAGAAACAAAGAGGAGTGGGCTGGAGAGATGTTTCAGCAGTTAAGAACACCGACTGCCCTTCCAGAAGATCGGAGTTCTAGCACCCACATGGCAGCTCCCATCTGTCTGTAACTCCTGTTCCAGGGTTCATCTGCCCTCTTCTGGTTTCTGCCAGCACTACACACACGATGTCCAGAGAGACGTACAGCCAGACAAAGCACCCCGTGGTGATTTGAATGAGAATAGCTCCTATAGGGTCATATGTTTGAATATTTTGTTCCCAGTTGGCGGGACTGTTTGGAAAGCATTAGAAGGTGTGGCCTTGTTGGTGGCGTGTCACTGGGGGTGGGGCTCTGAGGCTCTACCAGCACCCTGATCTCCCCCTCCACCCAGGGATTGTGGATCAAGATGTGAGTTCTCAGGTGTTTCCGCTGCAAGCCCTTGCTCCGCCATCCTGGACTCTGACTCTGAAACCCAAACTAAACTCTTTCTTTTATAAGTTGCCTTGGTCATGGCGTTTTATCACAGCAATAGAAAAGTAACTACCGCACAGCCGTACACATACAATAAATAATAAATGAATCTAAAGAAAGAGCTAACTGAAGCTGAGAAGAGGCCATTTGCCCAGTTGTCAAACTGCTGGGCAGTGTTCAGCAGGGACTTAAACGGAGCAGGGTCAAGCCATGAAGCCAAAGTTCTTATTCACATATGTGGCCTCCTTCATAACTCAAAACAGGAGTTGTGTCTCTCGGGCTTGCTCTTCTTGAAGCTCCACACCTCTACTGTCTTCAGCTCTTCTCCATATGGCATAGTTTGTTCAATTTCCCCTGAACAAATGCCACTTAGTCTCTTTCCTTTCTGAAGAAGATTGACCAGCCCTGGGCCCACCACGTCTTTGTGCCTAAGTGATGAAGAGTGCACGTGTGACGTTTTCACACCTTTGGTTTTTTTTTTACTAAGCTTGTGATCAACAGAGTCCTCAGCTCATTCTCACAGCAAATGCTCCTTGGCCTCATCAGTCCCATCATTGTTTTGGAGACATGCAGAAGAGGTCAGGGACAGAAATGGAGGTCAAGCGGGCTGCATGGATTACCTGAGTGTACAGAGGGGAAAGGTGTGTGGGAGACACACTGCCCCATTCCCCCCCGTAGAGACGGCAAAGGTCAGGCTGTGCCCTGCACACCACCAGGCCGGAGGCTTACCTGGGACAGCTGTCCAACCTCCAGGTAGAAGCAGATGATGAAGGCGTTCCAGCCAACCCAGAGCACCAGCCAGGCTGCGTACTGAGGAAAGCAGAGGGGAGATCAGGGTGGGGGCCGAGGTGGCTCAGTCAATAGAGACAGACTGCAAGGGCAGGGGGATCTTTAAAGTAGAGGTTACAAGTCCACATTCATCTCTCACAGCCCTGCAGGGCAAGCAAACATGTCGTCTCCCCTCTATGAAGGCCCAGAGGAAGGCTCAGCATCTCTGGATCACACAGCTGGGATGAAGGGCTGGCCCTTAGCCCAAGCTCTTGTGGAGCGACCTCCTCTATGTGTACTTCAATTACATTGAGTAGTTTATTAAAAATACAAATTGAGAGGGACTGGATAAATGGCTCAGGGGTTAAGAGCACTGGCTGCTCTTCCAGAGGTCCCGAGTTCAATTCCCAGCAACCACATGGTGGCTCACAACCGTCTATAATGAGATCTGGTGTTCTCTTCTAGTGTACAGAGGTAGGTGGATCTTCGAGTTCAAGGCCAGCCTGGTCTACAGAGTGGTTCCAGGACAGCCAGGGCTACCCAGAAAACCCTGTTTCAAAATCAATCAATCAATCAATCAATCAACACAAAACAAAAAACCAAACTGGGGCTGGAGAGATGGCTCAGAGTTTAGATGAGATTTTTATTCCCAGCATCCACACAAGGGCAGGCTCACAACCACCTGTAACTTGAGGTGTAAGGGATCCAATGTCCTCTTCTGATCTCCTCAGGTACCCACACTCAAGTGCACCCCTTCCTAATTAAAAATAAATAAATAATATCTTAAAAACACTTTATCCCCTGGGAAGATTCTCTAGGGAAAAATACCACCCTGGTATGTTGTGAGTGTATGACTTTGAGGTTTGGGTATTTGTGTCCCTTTAGGCTCATGGGTAGGAGACAGGGGCAAGGAAAGGGACGTACCAGAATGAGATACCGGGATCGATACTGCACAGTGCCAAAGATGCCCAGGATGACAGCCATGATGTGTAGGAAGTTGGCCAGGATGGGAGCCCACTGGTAGCCCAGGAAATCAAAGATCTGTCGCTGGAGCGCAGCCACCTGTGGAAGAGACAGGCTGAGACAACTGCCATGCAAAAGGACAAAGACTCAAGACACCCGGTCCCTCAGCCCGGAGTAATGCAAGAGGAAGTCCGGCCTCCACAGCTGACTGTGACTTTGGGGTAGGAGTGGGAATCTGAGCCAGGCCCAGTAAAACCAGCTCTCAAAACAAATAGACATGGGGTGGGGGTGGGGGGTAAAACCAGCTCTCAAAACAAATAGACATGGGGTGGGGGTGGGGGCGGGGGCGGGGCAGGATGGCTGAGAGGATGCAGGTGCTGGCCACTGAGCCTGACTACCTGAAGTTGATCCCCAGGACCCAAATGGTGAGATAACCGAATCCCACAATGGGTCCTCTGATATGCATAAGGCTTCCTCCAAATAAATGAATGTAATTAATTTTTCTAGGTTGGGGGATTGAGAATATAGCTCAGCGGGAAAGCACTTGTCCAGCACGTCCAAACCTTAGGTTGGCTTCTCAGCACTAAAACCGAACAAGAACATCCCCAGAGTGAAGCAGAGGGCTTGCTTAGGAATGAGGGTGGGTGGGTAGGGGATTTGGGTCAAGTAAGAGATCCCAGGGTCTCTTCCTGCCAGGGCAGCAGGATGGTACAGGCTGATGCCACCACACAGATGGCACAGCCTGGGAAGAGACCAAAGAAGCTGCAGGCTTGGGCAGGATATGAGGGGAGCCTGGTCATGCCAAGCTTGGGCCTGGGCACCTTCCCATCTGCCTCTTGCTGGTGACAGCCCTCACAGGGCGCTGCAGATGGTCAGAGGCATCCCAAGTTCATCTCTCCCTGCACACGCCTTGGCAGGAAGACAGATCTGGGCTCTTACGTCATCGTGAGAAGAGAGCGTGTAGTTCAGACGAAACAAATGACTTGCCCAAGGTCACACAGCAGGCAGGTGGCAGAACAGACTTTTCTCTGCCACCTGTCTCTTCTAAATACCAAGGTACCATGCTTCCCAGAGGGCCCTGGCTCTGGAGTCAAGGGGCACAGGTGGGGAGAGGGGAGTGTGCCTCTGTCTGCTGGGGGACTTTGGCCAGGTCACCTGCCCTGCTGGGCCTCAGGCCCCTCACCTATACATAAGGATTAATGGACTCCACAATCTAGCCCCGACTGGGTGGCTGGCTGACCTTGGGGAAGGACTTGCTAGGCACGTCCTCTTCCTCACTCCACTGTCTCTCTTTTTTTTTAAATTTTATTTGTGCGTGCATGCGTGTGCACGCGCGTGCGTGTGCGCTGACCAGAGGACAACCTGCAAGAGCCATTTCTCTTCTTCTACCATGTAGGTCCCGGCAATAAAGTTCACGTTATCAGATCTAGCATCAGGTGACTTTATGCCGCCTTACTGTCCCCTGACTTCTACACTTTCAGCAACTGAATTTAGAACTGGAGTCTCCACCTCCTTTCCTTTACCCAAGGCCTCCTGGATTGTGGAAATACAGCTCAACTTTCACCTTCCACGGGTGGGAGGACCCCAGGTGGCTCTATCCCTAACCCTGGATGTTCCTGTCCCTCACAGCCATCACCTATCCACTCCAGCACTGAGCTCCGGCTGGGTCACCATCCACCTGACATGCAGTGCGTCCCATCCACTAGCTCCTCCACATCTCAGAACAGTTAGTATACATCACCTGTGCAGGCTCTGAGGTCCCCACCCTTTGGAAATAGTGTAAAGAGGGTTGGGAAATCATACAGCACAAGTCCACAAGGCCAGTCACAAACCCCAGGCCTCAGAGAGACAGATGTCAAGACGGCCTTTGTCTAGTGTGGTAGTATAGTAGTATACTTCATAATTCCAGGACTCAGGAGGCAGAGACAAAGGGACCCCAAGTCAGAGCCAGTCTGGGTTACACAGTAGCACCTTGTCTCAAAACACACACACAAAAGACACTTTTTAAATTATATTTATTTATTCATTTATTTATTTATTATGTATACAATATTCTGTCTTGTGTATGTTTGCAGGCCAGAAGAGGGCACTAGACCTCATTACAGATGGCTGTGAGCCACCATGTGGTTGCCGGGAATTGAACTCAGGACCTTTGGAAGAGCAGGCAGTGCTCTTAACCACTGAGCCATCTCTCCAGCCCCACAAAAGACACTTTTAAAAATTCAAACTGGTATGGGAGTTGGGTGGGAAGATGGCTCAGTGGGTAAAGAAGGCACTTGCTACCACGTCCGACAATCCAAGTTCAATCTTCAAAGCCCATGTGGTAGGAGCAAACCAATTCCTGCAAACTGTTTTCTGATTTCACATGTACATTTTGGCATAAGTGGGCCTGTACACACACACACACACACACACACACACACACAATTCATAAATGGAGAAAGGATGTATACAATAAAATGTCTTATTCAAGGGGCTGGAGAGATGGCTCAGAGGTTAAAGCACTGGCTGCTCTTTTAGAGGTCCTGAGTTCCATTCCTAGCAACCACATGGTGGCTCACAACCATCTATAATAAGATCTGGTGGTTTCTTCTGGTTTGCAGCAATACAATGGAGACAGAATATATGCATTAATAAAAAAAAATTAAAAATGCTTTATTCTTATTTGCTAGCTAAGCGCACCTTGTCTCAAGATGAGTGGGAAACATTCCCAATAAACATCTTGGATACTGTCTGGCATTGTGGCACATGCCTTTAATCTTAGCACTTGGGAGACAGAGGCAGGTGGATCCCTGAGTTGGAGGCCAGCTTGGTTTACAGAGCAAGTGCCAGGACAGCCAGGGCTACACAGAGAAACCTTGTCTCAGAAAAACAAGCAAGCAAACAAACCCCATCTTGGATACTAAAGAACTTGCTGAGAGTTGGTAGTGTACAACCATGATCCCAGCACTTGGGAGGTGGGAGCAGAAGAATCAGAGTTCAAGTAGCTCAGTTTCTGGTCTTGCACTCCCAGAAACTTCCTGACCTCTCTTCCTGCTGCGAGGCTCCCAGGTGTGTGTCATCACCATCTTTCATAAAATGCAACTTTATTGTTATTATTATCATTATGATATGTGTGCAGCAGATGTGCTACAGTGAGCATGCGGCAGTTAGAGGGACAACTTTTGGACGTCTGTGGCTCCCGGGATCAAACTCAGTTTGTCACGCTCGGTGGCAAGGGCTTTAACCACTGAGTCATCTTCCCAGCCCTTTATTTTATTTAATTAATTATTTTTTTTTTTTGGCCACGGGGCTTCATGTAGCCCACTCTGGGCTCACACTCACCAGGTAGCCAAGGTTATTGGTGACATCCTGTCTCACTTTCTTTCCTGGAATGCTGGGATTGCAGGTGTGTGCCACCAAGTTGTTTTGTGCAGCCAATGGTGGAAAGGCAGGGAAGGCTGCTAGAACCAGAAGCCGTAAGCGGTCTCTGGGGGTCTGTTACTTTGTCATACATTATGATTAATAACAGTAGCAAAATTGTGGTTATGAAGTAGCAACGAAATAATTTTACGGTTTGGGGTCACAACAACATGAGGAACTGTATTAAAGGGTCTGTTGCAGCATTAGGAAGGTTGAGAACCACTGCTCTACGTAGATCAGGTTGGCCTCGAACTCCCAGCACTGGGACTAAAGGCATGCACCACCATCACCTGGCTGTCATCTTGATTCTTGAGCCTACGGGGTTATGTGCGGCCTCCCTGGGCTTTGCCACTGCCACACTGCCATCCCCTGACCTTGGCCCTATCCCGTGCACTGCACCCTCCCAGAAGCATCCTTGGGAAGTCTGCTTCTCTTTCCTTCTCCCATGCTCCCAAGGTCCCAACAGGGGTCGACAGTCTTTGGATCACCACGCTACCCTAAGGCTATTTCAGCACCTTCAATGCAGGCCATATCACCCACTGGTTGGTCTCTGAATACAATTTTTCTTTTCTCATACAGGATCTCGGAGCCCAGGCTGTTCTGCAATTCAAGATCCTCCTGCCTCAGCCTCCCGAGTGCTGGGTTTACAAACCCACTCCACCATGTCTGGCATTCACCGTAAACCTAACCTTCTGGCCCTGTCCATTGCCAGTGTCCACTCCCCTGATGTGTCCAAATGCAAGAAACCTCAGTTCTAACTCAAGCGTTCTTCCTGCTCTCTAACACCCCCAAGTCTAGGGGTCACAAACGGGACAAGTCTTCCATCTGATAACTTTCACCATATGTGCTTCCTCCCACCTGGACGCTCCAACCCTCCTCTCCCAGATACCTCAAGCCTGACACACACACTTTCCTCCAAGACCTAGTCTGCTTGGCTGCCCTTCCCCAGGCCCTTAGCTCCCCACCCCCAAACCCTGATTATTTATTTATCGGGTGGCTGCAAGCTGAGGGGGATGCTGTTGCTATGGGAACCTTCAGCCCCTTGTCAGGGCTGCCTCTGGTCTCAGTAGGATGCTCTTGTCTGTCTAGACTCCAACCCCAGGAGCCCAATCCCAGGTGGGAACTGGAGTGGGGGTGGGGAATAATACAGATGGAAGTACCCCAGAAGCAGGAAGCTGGCTAGGACGGAGGCAGGGAAGGGGCTGGGCAAAGGGCCATGGAACTTTATCAGAAGTCTCTGGTACCTCAGCCCTTGCCCATCAATTTTGCAAGTCAACTACTTCCCTGGCCAATACTCCAGTGTGCGGCCATATGCCTTAGGTGCAGAAGTCTGGCTGTCTGGGGGAAGAGGAGGGTGGCGCCCTAAGAGTCCCAGAGGAAAGGAAAGGGCAGCCCTTCTGCCTCTGACTGATTCTGAGGAGCAAATCTTCCCATTTGGGGTCCAGCAGACTGGGATGAAAACACAGTTTAGTGAGTGACTCATCCTGCAACCCTGGGCAGGTTCTCCCTCTTCAAGCCTCAGTTTCCCCACTGGTGAAGTGTTCTGTCACATAAAGTGCTCAGCTAGCGGGGTGTCTGAGGCACAGTTGGTCCTTAGTACGAGGCAGCAGCCCCTCGCGTGCCTCGAAGCCCCCCTTCCCAGTGGATTTCTGAGGCAGCTGATAAAATTACACTCGACTCAGCCCCTCATCCGTGAA